TTTTCATTCCTCCATTGTTGTTCTTGCTGTTTAGCTCTGTTTTGTTGAGTGTCTTTCTCCAACTGAAGATTTTCAATTGATGTCTGGAGCTGGTGGATTTCTTCTTTTAAACCTAAATTAAAAATTAAAAATAATGATCTTCAAATACAGGTTAGTTTTTTATGCTCACGTTGTGTTTTTATTTCTTCAAGAGCTCTTCTTTCTTTTTCAACTCGTTCTTTGCCAACTCCTTCAGGCCCAGAGAACTGCACTGCTTGTATCACATTTGTTAATTCATCTCCTCTAACCTGATCTCTTCTTCCTCTTCCATTATTATCCTGTTCATAAGATGAAACATAAGGTGATACATGTGCATATTGTCTTCTGCAATACTCTCTTCAATCCTTCCTTCAATCACCTGATAATCTTTATGTTGCCCACGCTGTAATTTATGATTCTCTTGTTGTTGCTGTCGTTGCTTTGACTTTATTTCTTCAAGAGCTCTTCCTTCTTGTTCAACTCGTTTCTTACCAACTGCTTCAGGCCCAGCAAACTGCACTGCTTGTAATGTATCTGTTAATTCAATAAGTCCTTCACCTCTTCCTCCTCCTCCCATCATTCCTCCTCCTGCTGCAAACCTTTCTTCATTGCCTCCTTCTCCAATTTTTAGATCACCAGGTCCCTTCCTGTCATCCTTTCCTTGTTTGACAGCATTAACATAACCTTGCTGTTGTCGTCGATATTCTGCTACTGTCATACCAAACTCTTTGGCTAATCTTTTTTCTTCTTCAGTAGCATCATATTGTTTGGTTTCTTTCTTAGATTTAGCAGCAAGCTCCTTCTGTTGCTGCATCGTAAACTCATCAACAGTAAGTACCAGTTGTTCAGGAAGGAACACTCGACTGTGATTATATGGTACTTTAAAAAGCCTACTATGACTACCAGTGATGCTAAGACAAACACCATCAAAATCTTTTATAGGATCAATTTTTTTGTCCTGAATAAAATGAAGATAAAATTATTTTATTTATTGCATCACTCACTGTTTCTATTCCTACCACTGGAAGAGGATCCATCATATCTTTAGAAACTCTAATGAATCCCACCCACCTCACTGTACCAGCAACTATGTCTTCTTTAACTGTCTGTAATATCACACGATCACCTTCTTTGAACCGTGAATTTACTGAATTATGAGCAGATGTACCATATTTTTCCCCTTCTTCTGCTACATTGCCATCAATGGCTGAAACTGTCTCTTTTACAAAATCTTTAACTTTATCATAGACAACTTTAGATTGACCACTGGCAGCACCAGGTTTTGGTTCTGCTATGATACTGGTTGGCTCATTCATAATAACACTTTTAGTAGGAGTAGGTTTCTCATCAACAAGATATTGAGCCTTTCTTGTTATCATATCCATAGATACAAAGACAGCATCTTTATAGCCACAATGGAAATATGGAATACCATTACTGGTACCTTTACCACGATACTTCTGTTCCTAATAATAACATAAGAGTACATGTACACTATCATTTGATGGTATGTGTGATTACTTACTTGTATTTCAATACCAAAGTGTGTCCCAAGCTTCTCTTGTATTGGACCAATGTAACGTATTACACCTTTGACAATGGAGGGAGCAGCATCAGGTTTTTTCAATTTAAACATCACCACGTCACCAATGATTAGGTCCAGTTTCTCCTTCTTCACCTCCTCTGACTTGAGGTATTCCTGCAATCGTGTGCTGGGAGGCTCCACTGCTAATAGATACTCCAGTTCTTTCCCTATTAATGGAGCTATATCCAAAAGCCCAACATGTAAAGTAACACCGGCTCTCATCGTGGTACGAACGATATTTTATTCCCTCAAGAATCAAAGATCTGCCTTCCTCAATAATTTGAACTAAAATTTCTCCTTTGAATACCGTACAAAATGGAGGTTGAAATGGATCTTCACCATTTCTATAGCCCATCTTCTCTTTCAATAGAATACTGGCCATGATCTGTTATTTTCAGTGTCTAATGGAGGGGTGTGACTATGAATACCAAACCAATTAACCAAAATACTATACTAACTGTAGATCATGTGTGTATAAAAATAGAACAAATGTTCTCATGTAAATAAACTATAAAGTGTGTTGCCACTTAGGCAATAAAACGATCCAATTCAACGATTATTTCAGACATTGTTGGTCGCTTGTCTGGTTCTTCATTGATACATGAAACTATGAGCTCATGCAGCTGAGGTGAGCTGGCTTTGACTTGCAGTGAGAGAGTCTCAAATATTCCTGGAGTTACAGGAAAGCGGCATGTAATCACTTCGCATAAGAGAACACCATAGCTATAGGAATCCATTTTTGGTGTTTGCTTTTTTCCAGAAGGAGCATGGCTTTCTGGAGCACTATAAACAGCTGCTCCTGGTGCTTCTGTGACTGCTGCATGAGCAAGTTTAGCTGATCCAAAGTCGGATATCTTAGTCTTCCATTTGTTGTGTCCCTTTGATTCCAGTAGTACATTAGCACTGCTGACATCACGATGAATAATAGGATCAGGTAGACAGTGTAGGTAGTTTAAACCCACAGCTACATCACGCATTATAGATAGAATCACTGGTCTACAGCCAGGATCAGTAGTAAGCTCCTTCCTCTCATAGGCACTCCGTAATGAGGTATCCATTACTTCAGTGATAATCATAGGATTACCTTTTGGATGGTCTAACACAGCTCCTATAAACTGGAGGAGATTAGGATGACGCAACTGAGACATTGTGTTGATCTCTCTATGAAGGAGCTCCATATAATGACTACTTTGCTCTTTCTGCTGCAAAAGTACTTTATAGAATCTCTTTACTGCGACATCTTTCCCACGAAACTTTCCAATTGTGACTTTTGCCCATCCTCCTGTACCCAGCTTTGTTTTACTGTACTCAATATCTGCAGAGCTAATCTTCCAACTTTTCTCAAGTCTAGCTAATTCGTTTTGCTTTGATGCTTGATCTGCTTCCATTTTTTGAACTAATTGTTCATAGCAGCGTATTCTTTCTTCCTTGTCTTTATTACTAGTCACAAGAGCATCACAAGACTTCTGTAGTTGATAGCACTCGTCTTCTTTTCTTTGAAAATTCCTCCTAATATTCTCATACATATCTTGCAGCTGACGATACTCTTCATTTTTATTTTTGTAACTAGTAACAAGGTCTTCATACGACTTTTTGAGCTGATGGAATTCTTCATTTGTATGATCTAGTTCCCTTTTAGTAAGAGAGCGAGATTCCTTAACTGAGGCAGGAGTAGGAGAAGCATCAAATGTAGGATCATCATAAACATCATTGACACCATACAAATCAAGGTCAGGATTAACATACACACACATGTAAATATCTTGAATGAATCTACGAACATATTCTGGTATATCT